GTAACACAAAAAAACAGAATAGAGGGTTAGAGGTTTTGTGGGTTTGTTTTTGTGGGATTTTAGGGGGTTTGATTTTACAGTTTTCAAGGCTCTTTATATTGACATTCTCACGAGATCATAGAAATCATGAGAAGTAGGTATTTTGCAGATGATGGTCTAATAGGAGGTCACATCTTTGCAAAGCTAAGATTTGAACTCAGATGCTGAATATAAAGGCCGTGTATAGGCCAGGAACGGTGGCTCACACCTGTAATCCCAGTACTCTGGGAGGCTGAGGTGGGTTGATCATGAGGTCAAGAGATCGAGAACATCCTGGCCAACATGGTGAAACCCAGTCTCTACTAAAAAATACAAAAATTAGCTGGGCGTGGTGGTGTGCACTTGTAGTCCCAGCTACTCAGGAGGCTAAGGCAGGAGAATTGCTTGAACCCAGGAGGCAGAGGTTTCAGTGAGCTGAGATTTGCACTCCAGTCTGGCGCCTGGCGACAAAGCAAGACTCTGTCTCAAAAAAAAAGGGCTATGTATTATAATTCTTTTTTATTAATATTTTTAAACGTTTTTTAAAAAATATAGAGTCTTACTATGTTACCCAGACTGGCCTTGAACTACTGGGCTCAAGTGATCCTCCCGCCCTTGCCTTCCAAAGTGCCCCGAAGTGCTGGGATTACAGGCATAAGCCACCACTCCCAGATGTATTGCAATTCTTTTTTCTTTCCTTTTCTGTTTTTTACTTTTCTTTTTTGAGATAGAGTCTTGCTCCATCACGCAGACTGGAGTACAGTGGTGCGATCTAGGTTCACTGCAAACTTTGCCTCCCAGGTTTAAGCCATTCTCCCACCTCAGCCTCCTGAGTAGCTGGGATTACAGGCGTACACCAACACACCTGGCTAATTTTTGTATTTTTAGTAGAGACAGGGTTTTGCCACATTGGCCAGGCTGGTCTCAAACTCCTGACCTCAGGTGATCCACTGCCTTGGCCCCAAAAAGTGCTGGGATTATAGGTGTGAGCCACCACACCAGACCTGTATTGTGATTCTTTTTTTTTTTTGAGATGGAGTTTTGCTCTTGTTGCTCAGGCTGGAGTGCAACGGTGCAATCTTGGCTCACTGCAACCTCGCCTCCTGGGTTCAAGCGATTCTCTTGCCTCAGCCACCCAAGTAACTGGGATTACAGGCATGTGCCACCATGCCCAGCTAATTTTTTGTATTTTTAGTAGAGACGGGGTTTCACCATGTTGGCCAGGATGGTCTCCATCTCTTGATCTCGTGACCCACCCACCTCGGCCTCCCAAAGTGCTGGGATTACAGGCATGAGCCACCGCGCCCGGCATGTACTGTGATTCTTAAAAGCATGAACTCTCGAGCCAGACCACTTGGGTTCAGATCTCGCCATCCCTACGTAGAAGCCATACGACCTTGAAAAAGAAAATAGCTAAAATGTATATTATTTATACCAGGCAGTATTCTAAATACATACATCACTCATTTAATCCAACAACGCTTTGAAGGGTCTTCTATTATTATCACCATTTTAAAGCCTCCCCAACCAAATGAAAAACAAATTTAGAGGAAGGAAAGAAGTAATGAAGAAATGTCTCAGCAGAAAATGAGAAATGGGGATGCATTTGTTCCCTGGGTTCCCTGTTCCTTGATTTGCAATATAATCTCAACTCCCTGGTATCTCCCTAGTTCCCTTCCCACTTGGTGTGATTTTGTGATAGATTAGTGTTCCTCCACTCCTCACCTTCTTAGGTGGAGTCGACGTCCCTCCTCTTGACTAAGAGCTTCATGCGGTGGCCAAGGAGATGTTAGCAGATGTAACACTGAATCATAAATGTTCTTCTATAGTTGGGCTTGCCCTTTTGTACTTCTGCCCTGAGAAAAGCTTCCCCTGGATAACTCCTGCCCGTCCAGCCTGGGAATAAGGGTGACCACAGGAGACATTTGCACAGTCATACCCCAGATTTCTCAATGCCTGAATGACTGTAGTGACTGCCCTCCAGTCCCACAGAATATTGAAGACCACCCAGCCCATTCCAAGAAACTCTTTGGAGACTCATAGATAAGAATCTAAATCTATAGGCACCTCACCAGCACAGCATCAGCCTCTGAATTTCCTTTTTGTTTATGCTGGAAGCTGAACCAGATGATGAGACAGAAAAAGAATTAGAGCCTTACCTTCCACTGCCACTTAGAGTATTTCCATCATAGCAAGTAGTCTTTTGATTAAAAAAAAAAAAAAAAAAAAAAAAAAAAAAATGTCTTAAAATAACAAGATTTTGAAGTTTCCCCATAGAAAAGAAAACAAACCAGAGCCTGCTTAAACCTCTTAGCAGTCACCAGGAGTTAAGAAAGAGAACCCATATTCCATTTCCCTATCTCATGGACTGACTGTGTCAGTCCTTTAGTAAGCATGCATGGTTAGCCTTTTCCCCCAAAACTGTCTGTGTTGTAAAGGCATTTTAGAAGTGGCACTACAGATCCTCTAATTCAGAAATAAAAAGATCACCATTCTGTCCATTCCAATCAGTACCTACAGTGAGAGAACTTTCATATGCAATCTGGACATCTAGATAATGCAGAAACCAAAGTTTTCCACCTAATGATGATAAACTTCGCTGTTAGGTTAATAATCAGCTTGCAAACCTAACAGTTGTATTGGGTAATAGAGGTTCAATAGATGTGTTCTTTTAAATCTTGCATAAATCACTTCTATAAATTGAAACTCATTCTAAATGCACCAGAAGCCTATTTAAAGAAATACCATGTTGAAATTTTTCATAAAGAAAATAATCTGAAAGTAGAGCCTGAGATGAGGTTAAAAAAGAAGAAGGGAAACAATCACACTCTTGTATTTGTTATGGAAATTTTAGATATTGAGTGTTCCTAAACCACGGTACACCTGGGATACTTCCCCTACAGGGCAGCCTCTTTAAAGGAGGGCACCCATATCCCAAAGACAACAATAATGTTAAAATGCTTTATATCAGTCTTTATTTTAAAAGTGTTTTACCAACATATACTAATCTTCACAACATTCGAGGGAGGTAGATAAGTATTACACCACTTTCACGGATGGAGAAACTGAGACAGAGATTAGTAAGTTGTGTTGAGGGGAATAACATATGACATAATTAGGAAAAGAATTTGTTGTAGTCATGGATCACTGATGACCTTTCCTACCATTTCTGAGTCCCATCAACACAAAAAGCAGCAGATGCAGCATAGAAGCAAGTCATCAGTAGTCTGGCTAGCCTAAAGCTAAACATTACCTTGTTGATACCAGATGTTGAATATGCTGTCCTTTGGCAAGCATCCCCCTCACATGCATTCTTACATGCTTCCACCTCGAAACAGGAAAGAGTGGAAGCTGTTGTGAGTGTAGAAGGAGGGGGCGGAGGAACAGGGCTGGGAAAGAAGATGACAGAAGAGAAAACATGAACTGATATAAAAGCAAAGGCAATAACAAACAAGAGGACCCCCTGGGAACCAGTCCAACAGAAAGAAAAGCCACAGCAAAAGAGAAGATTCATTGATTTGAAAAGCCCAGACATCCAGAAATGCTACTCAAAGGGTAATTCTTAGCAATGACATTCAAAGTCACTCCTCGTGGCTTTGCCAAATATAATCATCAGGTCCTTCTGACATTCCCAGGAGGCAGAATCATTCCTTTCCTCTGGTCCAGTCCAAGTGCTGATGTAATTGACCTGACACTCAAGACGCTGTTGACAACTCAGATGTACCCTCCCACCATGCCACCTCTCTTCCTCTGCATGTCAAGTCTCTTCAAAACAAAACAATGCATTTAATATTCCCCCTGCAAAAATCCTAAGACATTTTCAGAGATTGTGATGCATAATAATGTAGGATTCCATGTTTGAATTTTTATAAAAAGGGCATGATGTGGATTAACAGCCCCTCTCAGCAAATGCTTATTTATACAATATGGAACATTTTTTTAAATTGTGGATACCAACTCTCTAGAGATAAATTGGAGCACAAGAGAAAGAAATAACTTCTCCTCGTCTTCCTAGTGGGAAGCAAATATAAGGGATGGTGAATGACATCCCACTGGCTGCAATGGAGGTACTGATGGCAGAGGAAGCACCAAATGAGTAGGTGACCAAGGACCCAGCAGGGAGGGTCTAAGTCAGATGAACAGGTGGAAGCAGCAGCCCAGAGAGCTGAAGAGGCAGAAGTCAGAGAAAAGACATAGTAGCCAAAGAGAAGCATGGAGGTATTGGTGTTTGAGGTTGAGAGGGAGGCATAGCACTGATCTGTGTCTAGGCCTTCCTAGGACATGTTGGAGCCAGAAATACATCCTTTCTTCCTTTATTTCAGTCAGCGGCATCATTCTTTCAGACATGTGGCTTTAAAATCTCATCCCTTCTCTCCAACAAACATGGTCAACTGCCACGCCTTACTGATTCTGCTTTGGCAATAAATGCCCTTTGCACTGGTCTCTCTCGTTTGTTTGTTTGTTCTTTTGAGATGGAATCTTACTTTGAGGCTGGAGTGCAATGGAGTGATTTTGGCTCACTGCAACTTCTGCCTCCCAGGTTCAAGTGATTCTCCTGCCTCAGCCTCCCGAGTAGCTAGGATTACAGGCACCCGCCACCATGTCCGGCTAATTTTTTGTATTTTTAGTAGAGACAGGGTTTTTACCATGTTGGCCAGGCTGGTCGCAAACTCCTGACTTCAGGTGATCCACCCACCTTGGCCTCCCAAACTGCTGGGATTACAGGCCTGAGCCACCGTGCCCAGATGTCTCTCTTGTTTTTACTGCAACCTCTTCTGGACCCTGTTATCAACTCATCCTACCTAACCAGGGACAAACCCTGCTACCTGGTATCCCTGACTCCAGTCTTCTCTCCACTCAATTCCTTCTTCTACTGTTCTTCCTCGAGTACAGTTCTGATCATGTTACTGCCCAAATTTGGAAATTCTCCATGCTCTCACTGCCTCTCAATTATGTGTCTCATTATCTTAAATCTTCAACAGGACCTTGCATCTAGTGAAATTCCTCTGGTTTCCAAATCTCCACCTACCAAATGCCAACTTTGAAGACTTAGCTCCAGTGCCATTTCCTCCATGAAGACTTCCTTCAAGCTTCTTAGCTCTCTGCTGAGGTACAAGTGCACTTTGAAAACATGCACGGATCAAGCATGATAGCTGTTACATTCCCTACTGGGCTGTGTCCATAACTTCCCAAGGTGAAGGATGATGAACTGTGTCTTAATATTTACCTGTCTATTCCCTACAGCACCTACCAAGAGACGGTTATTGCATTTCTACCTCAGGTCAGAAACTGCTCAAAAGTGAAATGAATTATGATATACTAGTTCACAAATGGAGACACTGCAACAAGTACCCTGTAATGTGACCTGGCTCTCAGGATAAAACCAATCCATGATAAAGCTCAAGGAATGGGACAAGGGCAGGCAGTTTGGGCTACACATTTTTGAGTCAAGAAATCTGGGATTGAGGTTCTGCTTTTTGTCATTTGCTAGCTACGGCTTGGCACCAGGTGGTTCTTCTCTGAGCATCATTTCCTTCCTTCTGCATGGCTTCACGGGATTAAGAATAAAATGAGACACATTTGTGAATGCTACATCAGTGATTCTCAATCCCAATTATGCATCATAATCCCCTGTAAAGCTTCTGAAAAGTACAGAGGACAATTCCCCAGCCCAGGTCAATTGAATCAGAATCCTCTGGAAGTGGGACGCAGTGTGACTAATTATCTATAAAATGCTGTTTCTAATGCATAGCCAAGGTTAGAAGCTACTGTTATAAACTCATAAGTACCATTAACAGTAGAGCAAGGTGCTTTAGGCTGCTGGTTTAATTATCCTCTATGTGTAAAGTTAGAAATTAGTTCAATGCTTTTATAGTTCCTTAAAATACACTACTGTGTGAAAGCATTTTTTGTGTTCTTCTGCATTGTTTTCTGTATGGTTATAAGTTCTGAGAGAGAGAATTATATCTAGCACCACTGTACATAAAGACATACCTAAACCAAATTTTTGAGAAAAAATAAAAACTTCAGAGTCCTCTGAAACCTTGCTGTTCAGAAGTATGGTGACCAAACAAGCAGAACTGGCATAAACTAGGAACTTGCAAGAAATGTAGAATCTCAGACCCCACTCCGTACCCTGCATATTAACGAGGTTCTTAGATGCGTCAATAGGTGAAGCAAAGGCAGTCTTTGCTCAGTTCATATATATGTTTAGGGTCTGCTGTTCCCTGTCCTAATCCTGAAAAGGTAAGAGGGCATGAAGCATTGGGTTCTGTCTTCTACAAACCACTGAAGATTGGGGCTTTATCCCGATGCTTCTTTCTCTAAAGGGTCCATTTGGTAAAAACTAAATTAAGAACATAAATCCTTATAAAAGGATCCTTTCTTTCAAAGAAGACTAGTCTTCACAGGCTTCTTTCAAATAACCAATTCCTCTAAGACACTGAAAATATAATTCAGTGTTTAAAATAAATTCATATCCATTTTAAGTTGTGTGCAGTGCATAAATAGTAAGTATATGTGCACCTTACCGAACTTACAGTCCACAGCCCCCAAATTCCAAGATTATGCAGGAGGAAAGCTTAGCCATTGTAGTAAACAATTTCTCCCTAATTGACCCATGCTCTCCAGCTGATTATGATGTGGGCAGTACCCATCCAAGACTATACAGACAACATAACCATGGAGCTGTAGCAGTCTTGGAACATTATCTAGCCTAACTCCCTTGTTCTGTGGACAGGAAACACCACATCAAGGGTTAAAAGGACTTACCCACATTTATATAGCAACTTGAAGGAGAGTCAAGCTTAGAATTCAGGCCCTGACTCCAAGACCTATACCCACTTATGTGGACTCTGCCACATATACTCCTCTTTCCCCACCACATGACCTTGAACTCTGATTGTCAGAAACTGCTGATCTGCCTTGACACGTGTCATTTTGCTGCTTCCAGGTCTTGCTGTCTCCAACTCCCAGGGCTGTTTGTAACAGGAGGCTACAGGAGAAGCTATACTGCAGCTCAATCAAAATATCCATTTATCAATCCATATTTCCAAATATGTTGGTAATGGATCCTTAAAAGGCCCAATGCTAACTATGTAAAGCCAGCTACAAAGCATTACTACTGGCTAGAACCATGAGCATGGCGAGGGAAGGGCCTTTCCTTCGGTGGCTAAAGACTAAAAGCAAGGGCAGCCATCAACTTAGTAGTAAAAGCTGTGAGGAAACTACAGAGAAGACAAAACTGGAGCTCAGCTGGGAAGGCAGCATCTTTAAAAAACATACACAGTGTGACTATAAAATTGCAATTCTATTTTTTTTAGATAAAACCAACATAACAGAATATAGAAATCTAAACAAACATTTCTCCCTCAAAGCAGTTACATCCTTAGTTCCAACAAAACTACCATTGTTGGAAACTTATTTAGAACACCCCTCTTTGGGGAAAAGCCTTAAAAGGTGGTTTATGACCCACATTAGAAAATACCCTTTTAAACACTGGGCTGTTTAAAAACAGAAAATCCATACTCAGAGGATTCCACTGAGAAAATAAAAAAGGTGCTGCTGCAGCTCTCACGGAGGTTTCCGAAAGACCTCTAGCAAGTTCTGAGCAACAGCATCACCACTGGAGAAACATGTAGCCTCCCGGGACAGCCACTTTCGATGGGAGGGCATTCATTTGGATAGAAAAGTTCTGTTGTCTGTTTAAAAAGAAAAAAAGTATCAGCCACACTCCTTTATAGTCACACTTGCATTTGATTAAAAAAAATACAACAACAACACTCACACATGGTTCTTGTATGAATTCTAATTAAGAGACATTACATTCAGAATTATAGCACTCATAGTGATAATTTTCAGAAGACTATAACAGCTTCTTTGCCACTTAAGGGGTACAGAGGGTGCAGCTGTTTACCTGAATGAATTCTTAAATAAGTGACTACTACCACTCTAATGTTCCTAGTTGTAACTCTGTTACAGGTTACTGACCGCAAGTCCATGTTCCAGACATTCTTTGCCAACACAGATTAATTACAAGACAGCCACCCCCAAAGTCTTAGGGTGAATTGGGAAAGGGCCGGTTAAATGAGGAAACAGGCCATTCCTTGGTAAAAGTTTGCAGTTTTCTTTCCCAATACATCTTCTTTTTATTGAGAACTTCCATTTTTATCCTGTGTTCCTCCTCTGCCATCTCACACTCTCGCTCTATCTGCTGGATTTTGGCCACATGCACCTCATTCATTTGTATCAGCTGCAGTTGTAAGATGGACATTTGTTGATGGTGTTCTTCCTCATGCATCTTTTTTAAAGCACCTTCCTGAGAGGTTTTGCTCCTGTAGTTTTTATTGGCTGTTATTCTGACAGCTGAACACGAGGGTTCAGGTTGAGAGGTCCCCTCACATACTGGAAAATGTATGAACTCTTTCTCATCATCGCACAGTTCTCTATTTGAAACAGCAAATGATTCTGAAAAACAGTAGCAGAAAACATATATTCAAAGATTTTACAGGCAGAGAAAAAAAAATCAATCCTATTTCAAATGACAGGGTCCCTCATTACAGGATGTATCTAAAATCATGTCTGCTTTGGCCTTCATGTCTACAGGGACCCTGGCCACACTTGTCTTTTTAAAAACCCACAAATCAAAAGCAACATTTTCTTAAGAAATAATGACAAGGGGTTTTGTTAGGTTATTTCTAGAACTTCCAAGTATGGGATCCATGGTCAGAAACCATGCTTATCAAGAACAGAGATCTTGTTACGTTGATATTCTAAATTGAAATGTGCCCAACTCTGACAGTGTAGGACCACAATGCAAAGCCAGTGTGGATCTTCAGATTAGGTTCTCTATCAGTCTCATCACCCTTTGCCAACTTCTCATTTAGCCACGAACACTTATATGTAATCTTTGCAAGAGTGCTAGTGCTGGTTTCTGGTCACAGGTGTTAGCCCTTACCCTGGAGCGCCATCTTATAAATGTTCTTCCTTGAAAGATGAGTCACATTCCCTGGCTTAACTGCCTCACATACCATTTCTCTTTACTCTCCAGCACTGCCACTGGGGAGTTATCAATGTCCCTCTTATTTAATCTCTCCCTGGTACTTGACTATCCTTGAAATTTCTTTCCTCCATTAGCTTCTAAACAATAACTCTCCTAATTTCTCTAGAGCTGCCTTCCTCTCTGATTGCTCCTTCTCAAGTCTTCTTGATGTACTGAGACTCTCGCTCTACTCACCTGTTACCTTTTCATATTCTCCTGGGAATTCCTGTCTGTGGCTCTGTTCTTAATCCATCCTAAGTAAACTCATAACCTGTCCTGACCTTTCTTTCTTGTCTGACTCTTCCAAATGACTTGCACAACCGTCAATCCTACCACAAGCTATTCACATCCTTTATAAGATGCTTTTTTCATAATTCTGTTTCACGGTTCCCTCTGCTTAAAGTTAGGCTGCCTGTCCCTCCACTTACTATAGTCTTGTTTTTTTTTACTTTCCCTCAACTCCTACTCGTTCAACACTAATGCCACTTGCCCTGTGAAACCTCAGCTGTCTCCTTTATATGTACTCTTCTTTACAACACTTAACACACACAGTATTGTTTCGGCACCACGAAATCCTTTTTTTTTAATCCTTTGGTACCAGTTGCTTAGTTTGGTACACAATAGATGCCTAGTAAATGTTTACTGGATGAACCCTTGAATATAAAGGGAAGAGAGTATGGATGCAAAAGGATACCACCTGTGGTAGATGCTATGTTTGCCCTGATTTTTTAATAGAGCAGTAACATTCATGTCAATTAAGGGAGTTTCAATAAGGAAACCACTAACTCCACTAACCCATGGAGTCTTCTAGCTGTGACTCTAAGGCTTTCTTGAGAAGCTTTACATTTCCAATAATGAGAATCATCTCCTTGGAGAAAAACAATGCCAATTTATTAACAGAGTTGATTACATGATTATGTCCACTCTATTATTCTGGAAGATGGGATGCTGCGAATTTTAACGGCTACTGGGGGAAACCTAATTGATAATACCCTGTTAATAAAAGGAAAATGGCTACTGTTTAATTATTCCACTCAAAGAGGTAAAGTAGCAACCATAACTAGTCCCTAATTATGACTAAAGAAAACGTAAAAATCTTACTTCTGGAAGAGAAGGTTAAAAAAAAAAAAAAAGAAAGAGTACCTCTGTGCCATCCAGAAATAATGAAAATGTCTCCTGGAAATCTTTCCTAGAGACAGCTCTGGCCTCACGTACATGTTCTTCCTTCATGCTCCCATCACCTCCTGGGCCTATCTCTGGCAGAACACTTGTGAAAACTGGCAGTTTACCTCCCTTTCAAGTCTCTGAGTACTTTGAAGACAGAAACTGCTTCTGCTCTTCCTCACGCAGAATCCAACACAGGGCCTGGCATAGTGCTGGGCATGTAAGAAATGTGTATGGGATGAATCACCTGCAGTGGGTCACATCCCTCTCAACATAGCCCAACCATGGGGAAGGAACAGTGATCTGTGTGGGTAACCAAGACAAAGGACAAAGGAATGGGAGAGGGTGAACACCGAGAATACAGCCCTCAGCTGTGAGCTTCAACTGCAAAGAGCATTACCTCACCTGTTTCCTTTCTCGTTTGGGATCTGAAAATGTCTTCTTTGAAGACTGGACACATTAGACATTTTGTGGTAACTCTAGTCTCTTTTCTCTTTGATTTCATTTCAGGGGATAGTACTGGATACTCCTCTGAGTCCTTAAAGTTCATCCCCTCATAATGCTGCTGTCTTGCCCAATTTCTTTAGTTTCTTTTTTTTTTGAGATGGGCTCACTCTGTCACCTAGGCTGAAGTGCAGTGGCATGATCTCAGCTCACTGCAACCTCTGGCTCCCAGGCTCAAGTGATCCTCCCACTTCAGCCTCCAACTAGCTGGGACTACAGGCATGTACTACCATACCTGGTTAATTTTTTGTATTTTTGCTGGAGACAGGGTTTCACCATGTTGCCCAGGCTGGTCTCAAACTCCTGAGCTCAAGCGATCTGTCCGCCTTGGCCTCCCAGAATGCTGGAATTACAGGCATGAGCCACTGCACCAGCCTCTTCTAGTTTCTAAATTCTCACTTTCATTTCAACAATTCCAGGCGTCAGGTACCTGATGATGACAATGATGATGACAGCACCCACTGTTTTTTGAGCAGCTAACCAGGTCCTAGGCTAATGCTTTATAGCATTACCTCATTTAATCCTCACCCTATGAAGGAGGTATTATTAGAGAAAACCAAATACAATATCCAAGGTCACATGACTAGTTGAAAGAAACAGGATTCTAATCTAAGTCTGTATGACTCCAAAATCCAACTCAACCACTACAATACTCAGCCTCCGACTCTTCCACTTGTTCAGCTGATCACTTATGTATCTTAAAATGCAGCCTCCAATTTGTATCCACCACAAAACCATCTCTTATTAAGAATATGGGTGTGTATCCTGCATTTTGATCTCTAAGTTTCTAGATCTGTGAACATAAAGACAGTATGTTTGTGTCTAGGAGCAGAAAAATGACTCTTCTTTAAAAACTATTCCTTGGCTGGGTGCGGTGGCTCACACCTGTAATCCCAGCACTTTGGGAGGCTGAGGCGGGTGGATCACGAGCTCAAGAGATCGAGACTATCCTGGTCAACATGGTGAAACCCCGTCTCTACTAAAAATACAAAAAATTAGCTGGGCACGGTGGCGCGTGCCTGTAATCCCAGCTACTCGGGAGGCTGAGGGAGGAGAATTGCCTGAACCCAGGAGGCGGAGGTTGCAATGAGCCGAGATTGCGCCATTGCACTCCAGCCTGGGTAACAAGAGCGAAACTCCAAAAAAAACAAAACAAAACAAAAAACTATTCCTTTTGGTTTAAATGTGTGCTAACATACAAATTTTAAAGGAAAAAAAGGCAGGCCTCTTAAGAAGACTCTGGAAGAAGATAGGGCTTCAAACTAGTGAAGCCCAATGGTATAGTTAAGTAACTTTCACACACATATTAGTTCCAATGAATAGAAACTACTGTTCAGATGGGAAGAATCTTCTCTTAATTGGAAAACGACTAGCCTAGGAATGGCACTGTGCTGCAAATATACACCATGTAATCTCTCTCCAAGGTAAAACAAAGCCACCTGAAGGAGAAAACAACTCAATCTTACGCAAAAAGGGTAGGAAAGTCCAGCAGATTTCCTGGGATCTGGAAAGCCAAGGGGATATTCTTTAACTTGGACAGTTGGAGAAAGTTTATTATTAGCAGGAAAAGCCTACTATGACAATAAAAGAATGGGAAGGAAACTGCAAACAGGCCAAATCCCAGATATAGGAAATAGGGCTGACTGGGAAAGTGGATAAATAAGATATGTGGATGCATGCTATGGCGTATAATACATTAACTAAAAGAAAGAAACTAGACTTACACATTGCAAGGGAACTGATCTTTTTTTTAGATGAATTCTGGCTGTGTCACCCAGGCTAGAGTGCAGTGGTGTGATATTGGCTCACTGCAACCTCCACCTCCCAGGTTCAAGCAATTCTCCTGTCTCAGCCTCCAAGTAGCTGGGATTACAAGTGTGTGCCACCCTGCCTGGCTAATTTTTATAGTTTTAGTAAAGACGAGAGTTTTGCCATGTTGGCCAGGCTGGTCTTGAACTCCTAACCTCAGGTGATCTGTCTGCCTTGGCCTCCCAAAGTGCTGGGATTACAGGCATAAACCACGGGGCCCGGCCTAGGAATTGATCTTTAAAACAATATTTTAAGTGAAAAAAGCAGAGAAAATGGTATCTCTAGCACTAATTTAATCTACATAAAATTTAGAAGAGATGCACACAAAACACATGTAAAAGAATACACAAGCACATTACAATGATTCAGGTGCAGGAGAAGAGAATGAAAGAATGGAATAAAAATATAAGAAACACATAACTAATACAAAAGAAAGGTTTTTCACAGACCAGAGAGCCTGGTGTGCCAGGGCTGAGGAAATGTAACTCAGTCCTCTGGTACCAGAGTTCTTACCCCAAAAGATTAGGATTGGACTAAATAGTAATAATAATGGAGTTTATTTAAAAAATGTCTGGCTGGATACAATGGCTCACGCCTGTAATCCCAGCACTTTGGGAGGCCAAGGTGGGCAGATCACAAGGTCAGGAGTTCAAGTCCAGCCTGGCCAACATGGTGAAACCCTATCTCTACTAAAAACACAAAAATTAGCCGTGTGGGGTGGTGCAAGCCTATAGCTCCAGCTACTCTGGAGGCTGAGGCAGGAGAATCACTGGAACCCAGGTGGCAGAGGTTGCAGTGAGCTGAGATAGTACCACTGTATCCCAGCCTGGCAACAGAGCAAGACTTCGTCTCAAAAAAAAAAAAAAGATCTGAACAGTGTTTGAGGGGAAAAAAAAAAGAAATGTTCACAGTTATCAAGTATCACTTTATAGCATAGAATGTGAAATTAAATTTAAATTATCCTAAGACATTTGGGTGCCACTCCAAAGCTTAGTTTTCTTAAATGTATTTCACCTTTGGTCATTCTAGCCTCCCAGCCACTCCTAGCAAATTCTTTTGGCTCCCTTAGTTGGTTCTGCACACAGTTGTCCTCAAAATAATGGAAGATAAGTGCAAAGTCAAATTATCATACATCATAAAATCTGCAGGGTGTAAACTGTTTTAACATATTTAAGAAGGAAATACTGGGGTTTTTTTTTTTTTTGAAAATATTAATCTATTCCTAAGTGTTATACTTAAGTTTTAAGACTAGTATGTTCAAATGCAGATGGACACTTTCAGAAAGTCACTACCAAAGCTAAGTATATCCAAGAGACAGTGATCAAGATGACACAGTTGAAACTATCTCATACCAAAAAGTAGTTGGAGAGAGGCCTCTAGTGGAATACTACTAAGGTCCATCCTGTTTAACAGTTTTATCATAAATTCCAACAAATTTCTGAATACCTAATTCTGTAACAGGTACCCTGTAAGGTGTTGGAGCAGTACTGTCCAACAGAAATACAATATAAGCTATTTATATAATTTTAAATATCCTCAGAGCCATATTAGAAAACTAAAACAAAAAAAAGGTAAAATTTATTTTGGTGATATATTTTTAAATCCAATATATCTAAAATATTATCATTTCAACGTGTAACTATAAAAGTTATTTCATGATTTTTTTTACATTTTTTGGTACTAAGTCTTCAAAATGTGGTGTGCACAATTATAGCACATCCTAATGTGGCCTACCCACATTTCAAGTGCTTATTAGCCTCATGTGGCTTGTGGCAACTGTATTAAACAGCACAGTGTTAGAAATACAAAAGTCACACATACACATTCCTTATGTCAAATACACAAGATGTAATGAGGGCCATAACCCTATAGCAGATTTTCCACCTTTTTCCCACCAAGTCCAAGAAAGAATGATTGACAATTCCAGACTTCTTTTTCTTTCTTGAAAGAAAACTGAAATGCAAAATGACTGAAATGAACTCAAAGTTGTTTTCATTGTAAAGAAAGAGTTCCAGTACCCTACCTACTAGTATTAACAGATTTCCTTTGGACACATTTCCCAGGTGACAAAGCACCAAGGTTCTCTACCACCCTCCAGATGGGACCTAGACACAGGAGCAAGGAGCATTTGACTGTGCTTTAATAACCACCAGCAACAAGGGAAGTCCCCAGTGTCATCTATGTATAAACATCCAATTTAAAATAAATCCCTTCACACTTGAATCACTATTAAATGGCACTACAAGGAAAACACTGAGAATCTACCTTTATTCCCTTCTTGCTGAAAATTTATAAATTATGTTTATGAATAAATAAATTACATCATTTCTTCTAAAAAGAAAGAGAAAAAAAATTGTGAGATGAACTTTCCTAGATCCTACCCCAGAATTTGAAAATGGGGAAATAAGACTGTCTGGGTCCAATACACAATAATCCAGATCACAGGTTTAAAAAATAAACAGAAATCAGCTCACAACAGCATGTTCCCCAGCAGTATCTCCCAGTGAACATAAGCAACATAAAGAGAAGCCCTGCTGATCCACTCCTTCCATCCTCCACAGCCTCACAGAAGCTAAATGGCTCTGAAGCCAGCAAGATAGACAGTAACTCGCTGAAGCTATCATCATCTCCAAAACAAGGACACCATTAATTAGCAGCGGGGAGCCGTGCACTACAGAAGCAGCAATGAGGAGAGATAATCGAGAGTTGGCAGTGTCCCTATGACCTGTCTGCTAGGAGGTACCCTGGCTTGGGAGCTCCAGGATGAAAACCCAGACAGAAGATTCATACACTGGAAATTAACGAATGAGGTGCATAACATAAACCACTATGGTTACCCAACTAGCTTCCTGGACTTAACCTTGGTCAAACGATCAGTAAGCAAACTTTTGATTGTAATTTGCTTCTCCAGGATTGTCTGCCTACAGGACAGAAAAAAAGGTGCTAATCAAAAACATGTATTTGATGCAGTTGATAATTATCTTTTCCACTCTATACAGATAGCATTCCTGGCTTTAGACTACTTCTTGTTACTTTTAATTAACAGGAGCCAGTCCCTCAGAGTCAGTCTACTCTAGAGAGACTGACAAGTGAATTTCCCTTCCTGCAAGCTGAGAACCAGACTCTCCTGGGGAAGTGCTTGCTGGGTCCTCGAGGTACCTTATGAACAATCCTCTGTCCCCCACCAGGAACCATTTTCTGCTTCGGTTTCTTTCCTCTGCAAACTGCAAAGAGCACCTCACTAATAACAACTCCATTAATGCATTATTAGTTAACAGATAACTTATTTTTCTTTATGTTTAAGTAAAAATAAAGTCTCTAAGAATGAATTTTTACATAAACTGGCTACTTCCTGTCTGAAAAGCAGGAATTTCAGGAAATTTATCAATGTGCATTTCTACCCTACTCTTGCCTAGAGACATCCCCTAATTCCAACCTTTTGAAGCTATGACACACTATCATTGTATCCTTCATTATATGAGTGTTTTTTTCCCTTAAGAATTATGTATGACATCTTCTTCACTTTTTAATGAAAGTATACTAAAGTTAATTTTCTTCAGAGTTTCTCAAGATCCCTAGGGTACCACAAACCAAAACTGTGGATCACAATATTACAATGGCTAAAAATGCTGGGTTTTAATCTGGATGAATGCTAAAACAGGTGTTTATCATATTAGTCTCTGTAATTTTTTTTTTAAGTTTGAAATAGTTCACTTTCTTAATATGGCCATTTGAGTGGCCTACTGTGGTGCTGTGAACAACATAAGGATATCCAAAAATTTTTTTTGAAAAAAGTGAAATTGAGTAGATGAATATAAATCTTCATAAAAATCTCCTTAACATATTTGAGATAGGTTGAGATAGGCAACTGCAGTGCCTCACTAATAACAACTCCATTAATGCATTATTAGTTAACTGATAACATATTTTTCTTTATGTTTAAGTAATAATAAAGTCTAAAAGAGCTAGCACAATGATGTAAACAAGTATTTTTGTTTCTATATACTGTATGACTTTTTTTTTTTTGAGACAGGGTCTCACTCTGTCGCCCAGGCTGGAGTGCAGTGGCGTAATAACAGCTCACTGTAGCCTCCACTTCCTGGACTCAAGTGATCCTCCAGCCTCAGCCTCCCGAGTAGCTGGAACTACAGGTGCACACTACCATGCCCAGCTATCTTTTTCTATTTTTTGTAAAAACAGGGGTCTCACTTAGTTGCCCAGGGTAGTCTCAAATTCCTGGGCTCAAGCCATCTTCCCGCCTCAGCCTCCCAAAGTGCTGGGATTACAGGCGTGAACCTCTATATGACTCTGAATGTCCTATATAATCCTGAGATTTTGAATTAGGAAAATTGAGTTTGATACAAAAGTTTCGTTTTTAGAAGTTCCCTCAAAAGGGGGGTTTTAAAATTAAAATGTCAAACAGGTACCCCGTGAAAGCATGCACACTGGCATCAGGAACAGATACCTTGGGCCACCGCGTCGGGGTGGTATTCGGGCTCCTCCTCCGGGGGGCTCTGCAGGAAGTAGAGCTGCTCCGGAAGCATGCTGGCGATCTTCTCCTTCCCTAGGACGTGAGTACTCAGCAGCGGGCTGACGCTCCGTTTCACCTTCTCTCTCCTTTCATGGGCCATAATTTTTTTGGTCCGAGCCTTGATGTTCTCCCAGCACTTCTTCAGCTGTTTGAAATCCCGCAGGGACACGCTCGGCTGAGAGTTGTATTCGTGGGCCAGCGCCTGCCAGGTACGCTGCTTAAGGGCAATAGTTCGCGCATCACTTTTCTTACATTCCAGCACATATTTGTACTTTTCTACTAAAGCCAGCAGGATGCTCTTTTCCAATTCTGAGAAGTATTTGGCAGGCTTTATAATTTCGTTGTTTTGCATTTTCCACTATATTTCTTTTGGCCGCTAACTATCCTGTAAAAAAGAAAGTTTGAAGCAATGATTACCAACTCTAGCAAGAACAATACCCGCAAATCACTGAAGCTTAATTCCTGACTTGATTCCCTGGTCTGAAATACAGTACTTTCTTTTCCATTATTGTTGAATTATGATATTCAGGACTCAGAAAAATATTTAGAAATATACTAGGAATGGGGTTTTACCTCAAAGTGGATTGTTGTGGCCATACTGGGACTATCTGGTATATAACGGCAAAAAAAAAAAAAAAAAAGAAAGAAAGAAAAAAGAAAAGAAAAAGAAAGGAAAGAAAAGTTGAACATTTATAGAGAACTCTGATTTCTTAATTTATTTTTCTTTAATGTTAGGGAACTGATTATTCCCCCCAAATCATGTTAGCCAGTTTTAGAACTAAACAGCTTTCTCAAAGTTTTGTCACAGCTGAGAACAAGAGAAGCCACCATGTAATCAAATATAAAAGATGATGTACAGCTGGGTGCAGTGGCTCACACCTGTAATCCCAGCACTTTGGGAGGCTGAGGCAGGTAGATTGCTTGAGCCCAGGAGTTCAAGACTAGCATGGGCAACATGGCAAAACCCTGTCTCTACCAAAAAAAAAAAAAAATAGCCAGGTGTGGTAGCACGCATCTGTAATCCCAGCTACCTGGGAGGCTGAAGTAGGAGGACTGCTTGAGCCCAGGAGATCGAGGCCATAGTGAGCCATGTTTGTACCACTGCACACCAGCCTGGATGATAAAAGGAGACACTTTCTTAAAAAAAAAAAAAATGATGTTTTCATCATTCTGTGTCATGTACCTGGAGCAACCCCAACCTCAGTTTCTTCATCTGTAAAATGAAAGGTTGGAGACTGTGATCCCACAAGTCTGAGGGCTGCTTTTAAAAATCCTAAATAAACAATGTATATAATGTTAGATGTAAAGGTCCTAGGCACTTAGACACTGAGTCCAGTGTTCCTCTTTACATCCCCCAAGTCTTTTCCCCACTGAGAGAAGTAAAGGTCAGAAAGGTGACGTGGATTGCACAAGATCACAAAGATGGCAACACGGAAAGTGCAGAACTTGGACTGCCCTAGGAGTCTGGTATTCTTAGAATCATTCCACAACTGTCTCTCAGCCTCTCGCCTTGGGTGACTCCAAATGACTCCACTATGATTCCCGTAAGTCACCTTGTCATCCTCCACAGTGCTGAGTCAGCATCTTTCACACAACAGGTGCTTAGTGAATGTCTTATTCCAGTGAAGTGTATGAAATCTGTGTGTGCTTTAGGACTCCACACTTTGCCCACATCTTTTAATCACAGAGAGTTTCCTATAAAATTAACTTCTCAAATATGTTACATCAAAAACATAGCTAATCTATGCTGACTGCAGCAATAAAGTAAGCATTATTGGAAAGGGCCAATGTATTCCCAGTCCTTCTTACATTCTCCAAGCCTCTGATTTCTCAGAGTAACAGGCAAGCATCAAGATACTAATGAGGCAGTCCATTTAAAACTGACCAATCGTGTCAAAAAATTAGGAACCAACTTGAAAAGATTCCCACTAGCCAAAAATGGTGTCATTTGAAATCAAAGGTCATGGGTACACAAGGATTAAGTTACTTTCTCAATCTTTGTATGTTTCAAAATTCCATAATAAAAAATTAGTGGGGGGGGGGGGGCTGTGACTTTTAAATTTATGGTACACTAATTTTAAATCACACTATTTCCAGCCAGCTACTCACACACTATGCCTAGGAAGGGGTTTCTGTAGTTGTGGATGGCTGAAATCTGTTTGACTGAGACAGGAGAGGACTGGGACAGATCAGAGAACCTTTAAATTGAGGCCAAGGAGTGTGGGCTTTACATGAGGGTGATAGAACCTGCTCAGGGTCTCTCACTCTGCACCACCTCATCCTAAAAGTTGTCATTACTAGAATGAAGTACTAGGGTAACCTGTGTCTCCAAATACTAGGTACCCTGCTCTACATTCAAACTGGACACATCAGGTATCAGAGACTGAGAGGTTTAGACATATGTCAAAGGTGGTTTGGCCCTCAGGTCCTGAGCAAAGCTAAAAGAGTGGACATTTATCTTTGGGGATGTGTCCCTATAACGCTAAATTCCCATGCTCGTGCTTTGATTATGTTGTTCTAATATCCATACAATGATACCCAATCCAGGATCCTTTTTCCTCAAAGGTCCCAAATTAGTTTTTTACCCTCATCCATATTTCCATTCCCTATAAATCAATGTTCCCCAAACTGAAATTTATTAACATACACCCTGTACAATATTATCTCTTCTATATCATCTCTGTCTGCCAAGATATCTATGTCCAACTTTACTTTCTGTAGTTTTTGTTAGGAAATGAATAGACACACTGACTGTTCTTAAATTACACAGCTCGCACAGCAGATTCTGATCCACTTCCCCAACCTCAACCAACGCCTCTGCTCCAGATGTCAATATGCCAACTTTCCCCACTCCTAAGAATTGCTGCTATAAGGATTAAGAACTCTGATTCATAAATGAAAAAAGTATTACTCCCTATTTTGTTGTTGTATGTGATGCTACTTTACATATACATTATATTTGTATATACACACACTTTCCAAATAAATATCTTTCTTCTATCTTATTTCTTCAAGAGAAATTCCTAGGACCGTTGCACCAAAAGATAAAAACACTTAAGACTTATGTTATATCCCCAACTTGTCCTTGTAAACTAGTGCACCAATTACATTTCTAGTAACAGCACATAAGCATATCCATTTCCCTATTTCGTTTTTTTTTTCTTGTTCTGTGCCAACTGTGGAAGTAAAAAATGTCACTTCATCGATTAATGGTATATGAATTTCAGCTCTGAGGTAAGCAAGCCACACTCTGAACAAAGGTCCTGTGATCCTTGGTGGGACTGAAATTACATGGAATGAATTTCAAGCAATGTAATTCTTCCTCACGATGTGTGCAGTACCTCTAGCTGCCACCGGGTGGTAGTGGACTTGTGGGGAGTCTAAATTTCACAAAGGCTCTTGCCCTACATGCGGCCAACTGAGTCTCAAAGTAACAATAATGATAGCAATAATGTAACAGCAGATAACTTTTCTTGAGCCCTTATTGTAGGCTAAACATAACAAATATTTAAAATGCACAATATCATTTTACCCTCCCAAAAACAGCCTCTGAGAGCATTTGTTATACTTGAATGTTTTCTGTTAAAAAATACATATATATACATGCACATATATGCATACATATATTTACATAAAGTACCAGAAGAAATTATACAACTGCTCTCAAAAGCAAATATTTGCAATTACCAACACCTGGGGACCATTAATAGCCTATTAAGTAAACTGTTATTTAATCACTAGCTAAGTAAATCCAAAGTTACCAATTTACTTTGCTTAATTTCGTAGAACAGCAGAGTTCCTTGGGCCTTGTGGTTGCATTCTGCCTGGTTATAAAGGGATTCTGATACAAGGCAATGTAACCTAAAGGTTCCTTATGGATTCTCAACAGCCTTGTGAAATAGGCTGCTTGTCTCCTTTAACCAATTACTATTCCCATTTCCCAGATAAGAAAACTGTGGCTCTTACTCTGGTCACACAAATATTAAGTGGTCTGACTTACTCCAATGCCCATGCTCCTTAGCTGTCTTGTTTCAGACCTAGTGACAGCCTCTATTCCCCAGCTCAAAGTATGGCCATTAACACTCTAATCTAATCAGCTGGGAAAGGGCCCAGGGTAGGGCAATTTAGGTGGGGTGTATCTCCATCTATTGGCTCTTTCCCCACTCATTTCCCTCCCTCCATCATCTTTTCCCACTTTCAAACTTAGGGCCCATAGTCCTCCCACATGTACCTTCCTCACTCTAACCAGAGCTCTGAAATAATTTCTGCCATGATCCAATAAGACTGTATGTTTGGGCTGGGCGTGGTGGCTCATGCCTGTAATCCCAGCATTTTGGAAGGCCAAGGCAGGTGGATCACCTGAGGTCAGGAGTTCAAGACCAGCCTGGCCAAAATGGTGAAACCCCCATCTCTACTAAAAATATAAAAATTAGCTGGGTGTGGTACCACATACCTGTAATCCCAGCTATTCAGGAGGCTAAGGCAGGAGAATCGCTTGAACCTGGGAGGCAGAAGTTGCAGTGAGCCAAGATCAAGCCATTGCACTCCAGCCTATGGCTTAGTAGCAGAGTGAGACTCTTTCTCAAAAATAATCATAATGACTGTATGGTTGAAGAATAACTGTAGAGATCTTACAGAGCTTTAACATGCATGGTCCGTGCCTCGGGAATGCTGGCACTCCACCTAAGCATGTAAACAAATACTTCCCAAAGTAAGAGATCTCCCCAGCAAAGCTTATTAATGCTTATTAATAGAAACTTTGAGACTCAAAAGCATACTCTAGCTTAAAACTATTCAGCAATGTCCATAATTGGTTACAGATGACAACATAACAAGCGTTCCCTGCTGCCTCAGCTTTTATTAGGAAAGGAATAGCCTTCCATGTCCCCCAATTCTGCTCAGGAGCCATCATCTCTTGTGTCTGCTGTTCTGCTAGACAGTGTGTGACCCATTCTTATGCAGGACTGTAGGGCAACATGGAGGCCAGTGACCCTCACAAAGTGGGTTCTCAGTAAACATTTTATAAATGTAGACATTTTCATACAGGCATAAAATAGCCTACCGTGCACACGGTATCATACATGACAAAACAGTACGTTAGATGCTGCATTAGCTGGGTGCGGTGGAGTGCCTGTAGTCCCAGCTCCTTGGGATGCTGAGGGAGGATGATGACTTGGGCCCAGGAGTTAGAAACTATAGTGAGCTATGATTGTGCTTGTTAATAGCCACTCCACCTCAGCCTGGGCAACATAGTGACACCTCCATCTCTTAAAATAACAAAAGGTACATTAAAGTAGAAATGGTCAAATAAAATAGCAAAATCCAAATGAAATGGAAGTTCCCCTTGGGCTAGGCAAAGACCCATAGATAGGCCTAAATAAAAAG